ACATCTTATTTTGGCATTTGACCAATTAGATGAGCCCTTGAATTATTTATTACCTACTGTAAATTAAGTTGAAGAAAAAAGTTACGAAGTTAAGAAAAAAAAAGGTAAAAAGCTAAGTGAAAAGTTAAAAAGTTAATAAGCCTAGTTTACATTTATATGCAGGTTTATAAACAAAAAAATCTAAGTGCCAGTAGCAGTATTAATGCCTCTAAGGTTATGTTGGACCAAAAATTTTTTATGAATTTCTTATAAAAGCACTTTTGTTGTTTTTCTTAATATGTTCAGGCAAGTTGGCTTTTCTTGTTATTACATTGACATTAATTTTTACCAGCAAAATATCCAGATTTTATGAATGTTTTGAAGGTAATAAGGTCTTATCCTGGATTCCAGTAACACTATTAGTTGAACATTTGAATTTTCAAGGTATTTCAAGGAGTTCCTATAAAGGATTAAAGATGAAATCAACATTACATTTATCCCTAATGAAAATAAAACTCTTAAATCCTCTTAATGCTTCATGCTTGTATGGAGAATATTTTTCCTTCCTGTTAAAAAAAGGAACTTCAGATTATTAGTCTTAACTTTTCACCTCATTTCCACACACGCGTGGGTGTGATCAAGGCCGTGTTTAAATGGCTGTTTCAGTATAAGCTCAATCTGGCTAATTAATGAACACATTTTAGTTTAAATCTGATTTCTGGCCTCGCTGATGTAAACACAGATGGTTAAACCGTGATTCCAGGAAATCAGCTGCGCTTATTGTAAATATCTAAAACATTTGATGCGAAAAGAAGCGCAGCAGTTTGAGGTAAAGTGGGTCTGAGCTGAAAGCGGTTCAAACTTTAAAAAGCAGAGTGAGAATCGGATGGATCCTGCGCAGCGCCATCATTCAGCCACACTTTCCCCCGGAGCGGACGGCTAACAGGCTAGCTGCCGCTGTTTTCAACAGAGCAACAATCATTAAAGTGTGTAAAAGTTGCGTGAAAACCGTGGAAATGTCCCACTCACCCGTCTCTCCCGGGGTTTTCATCTTGGTCCAAGCGGTCGGTGGCTCCTTCCGTCACTTTTTCCCCGTCGACGGGTAACTTCAGGCGGTAGCTGTTAGCTGTTAGCAGCGGCTCCGCTCTCTCTTCCCCCCCGGTCTGCTTCTGACCAAAAAGAGCTGAAAAAACTCCGAGCGGAGTTTTATATCATCTGCGTTTGCTTTGAAACTCGTTTATTGTTTTTTTTTTCTTCCCCCTAGTAAAGTTATCCGGGAGTGTGTGGAGCGGGTTGGAGAAATCCCGTCCTCTCCGGTGAATGGTGAAAGTTTGGAGGAGTCAGTCCGAGCAGCCGTTGGCCGCCTCTGGAGCAACGGAATGTGGCGAGTTTAAATTTCCACTGCGGTGTCGCATGTTGGAGTCCACCGCGGCAGCAGCAGCATCTTCCTCCTGACTACAGCCGCGCTTCGGGGAGGAACAAAAGTAGTGAAGCCAACTCACTTCTTTCTCTGAGCCCCCTCTTTTTCTCCCTTTTTTCCACTCAGTCACTTCGTGTTCCCTCCAGCTCCCCCCCCTCCCCGCCTCCTCTTCCATAAAGGGCCGGGGTGTCGTGTTTCGCTATCCTCCTGCCACACGGGGCCGCCCACGCTGACCCACACAGGGAGGGAGGGAGCGAGGAATCGAACGCCCACCGAACAAAGATCGTCTATGATATGTCACGCGAATAAAAACGTTGGGCATATATATTTTTTTTAGATAAATTATAAAGAAGATTACAAAAAAATAAAAAATTTAACTGATTTTAAAATTTTATTTCAGTATAATATGAGAAAAAAAATCAGAATTTGGACTTTTTTCTCAGATTTCTTGGCCTTTTTTTCTCTGTTTTGACTTTAACCACATAATTCTCACTTGAACCACAAAATTCTGACTTTAACCTCAGAATTCTGAATTTTTTCTCAGAATTCTGACTGAATTCTGACAGCTAACAAACATGTTAGTATCAAGCCGTTGCCATGTCTGTTTTAGAGACTAAATTAGCTCTCTTGTTTTAATCACCTTCTGCTCTTCCATTAATAAAATAGCATCACCAGGGACCCTCAGGCATGTAAAAAGTCCCCTAATTCCATCATTTTCCACCGATGTGTTACTGGCCCTCCTAAACGACTCACGTCCTTGTCAGTGAAGCTGAGTGCTCCCACATCTCTTGGAAATATCTTCCTTTATGGTGCCCATCTACATTAGGAGCCAAAATTCTGAGATTAAAGTCAGAATTCTGTGAAAAAAGAGAATCCTGAGATTAAAGTCAGAATTCTGTGAAAAAAGAGAATTCTGAGATTAAAGTCAGAATTCTGACACTTTTCTCATATTATACTGAAATAAAATTTTAAAATCAGTTAACCTTTTTAAAAGTTTTTTCAGTGGCCTGTAAGATTAAAAGTCAGAATTATTAAAAAAAAAAAAAAAAATGAAATCCAAAAAACAAATTCGGAGCAAAATACTTTAATTTCATATAGTAGTAAAGATTAAAGTTAAAAAAAATCTACTTGACTTGGTTCCCAAGATTTGAAGACGTTTCTTCAATCTTGGAAACCAAGTCCAGAAGATATATATATTTTTTTGAACTTTTACGGAACGACTATGACCTGGATGACTGAGAATCTTCATCAGCATACAGTAAAGATTAAATTTGACCATGTCACAAACACCATAACATTGCAGACCTTCATCTGACTATGACAGGATTAACCAATTAAAAATCAGCGGGGTCTGGACAAAGAAAATCATCAACCAGTAAAGGTCTGGAGACATTTTTAATCGGCCTTTAATACTGAAAGAAAATGTGTTTTTATGCATCCATTTTATAGATTGAATTTTTAAACAAACAAACAAAACAAAAAAATAGAACATTTTTCTATTTTAAAATCTAAAGTAGAGAACTACAATCCTTCAGTTGGGTATACAGACAATTTATAAAACACCTAAACTGACCATTTTTTCTTTTTTATGGCTAAATTAGAGCAGTGGGCTTTAGGCTGCCCTGAAATGCTTTAAACCTGGGTTTAAGCCATTCTCAAGCACATATCAAGGTTCTCATTCGTGAGCCTGGATCCATATTTATTTTTGATTCATGGTGGAGAATCCTGCTTCACAGCAGCAGGTTGAGCCAAACATCCTCTAAATGTGCAGGGTCA